CCACGTCTTAAGCTTTTAGGACCATTAAGTTGTAAACCTTGGAGTTTGAACCATCCCTCTCTGAAGTTTATGCAATTTTGTGGATGCGATGAATGCATATAATTGGCTGCCCCGAAATGAAAAGAAATTAAGCCTCTACTTTCAGAAAATGTCGTTACACAGAATAACAAATTGCAGATATTGTGCACGAACTATCAAACTGCAAACCTGTGACAGATGTATCATGTCCAAAACAAGCCCATCAAAAAAGACGATGCACTCTACATTAGGGTTTCCATACTTGACCAACTCGTGGCAACTGAAACATTTGGATAGCGATTGTGAAGCAACTTCGAGTAAGGGTTACAGTTATACTTTTAAAGTGCTTAGTTTAAAGTCTTGTCTTTCCTGTATACTTCCCGGAGTGTGAGAAGATTTGAAAACTTAATTGAAAATTTCGTCCTGTTGATGAAAAGCGGGAGCTAAGAAGCAGAGAAGCATTGCACGTCAGTTTTATCCTTATTGGACCTCTTCAGTAGTGCGAATCTCACAAAATAATTCTATAGAGTCTTCAACCAAAGACGTCCCGGTTGGTAGTTTGAGCACGTACCGTTTTGGGCACCAACCATCTGATCAGCAGAGAGATTAACTCACACCTAGACAGGACTCAGAGCCGCTCATCCTCCAATCGCGGAACCCACATCGGCTGCCATCACGTAGGAGTGCACTGCTGACGGTTCTCAATAAGAATGAAGCGGCTATACGGTGATTTCAGCACAGAAGTGCTTCACTCTTAGAACGGAATCTTGGAGACTAGTTTGCTTCTCAGCACAAAATATTTTCTCATAAATTTAGCAGAATTGGATGGGTCCGAGGGTCACAGCCGATTGCAATCATCCTATTCTTGTCTCTAAAACTGATGATTTGTGAGGATCCTGGGAAAAATCCAGCCCGGTTTTTAATGGGAGCTGTTCAGGCCTTCTACATTTCTTCATTCAGGTAGTTTTTCAAGCAGTTTAAATAGCCGCGAATATGCTGACGTTCAGCCGTTTGCAACACAGTAGCTTACATTCAGCGAAGTAACATTAAGTGGACCAGATAAGCGGCATCCCTTGGGGTTAATTGTCGATACTCTACCAACCATAATGCGAAGGATACAGGAGAAATCGAGCGATGATTTATTGTTAAATATTAAACACACAAGTCACCAACCGCGAAGGATACAGGAGAAATCGAGCGATGATTTATTGTTAAATATTAAACACACAAGTCACCCACAGAAAATGTCAGCTGTGGGTTTTTTCTGGTGTACAGAAATTACTAAATCGGCAAAAATTTTAGTGCAAAATGCCTATGTGTGACGGTATAGTCCGATTTATTTGGCTTACTGAATATCGTATGGTAGGATGGAAGCCACCCAACTCCCATACTGTCCCCTCATTGTTGCTTCTGGCCAACCTCCTACCCGCTGGGAATGTAGTGATTTCTCAACAAGGTAACGTTTAAGAGGGAATGGTCTACGATAAAGGCTATGTGGTAAACCATCCTCAGGTTTGTTTCTGAGGTCTACCAACTTCACTCGTACTTTCCAGGAGAGTGTGATCGTCAGTCTTTCTTTCAGGGAAGGGGCAATGACGAGTAATTCCTAGATAAAGCCAGATTTAAGGACCATAAATTCGTCTTCATTGCACTTTTCACCCTGTGAACAATCTACCTTGGCTTGTATAGCCACATACCTGTGGAATAGCCGGATTTTTCGTCATTTTTTTTCATTACCGTAATAATGCGCCAAATACGCTTTACCTGACTCCCACCAGTCATACCAGAAGAACGCACGCTCATCTCTTCCTCTGAACATCGTACTGTTTCCGACATACTAATTTTAGCGCGTGAAGTTGGATGTAATATTTATAAATGGGTGCCACAAATGTTTTGGTTTCTTTCAGTTTAATTCATTCTGCTTTATCACTCAATGCTGACTTGCCCAGTAGACCGTTCTCCAAAGAAACTTTAGTAGTACAAGTTACGAACGCACAACGGACGCTATATTGTCCCATGAAATCAAGCATCAGCTGTGACAACACAGATATACGAGACCAATCTCAGTTCCCACTGTCAAGAAAATTCACCTTGACTTATCAGAACCCCCTTTCTTATCTTCCTTTGGTCGTCCTCGCGAGGTGATGCTTGCGAAAGACGCAATCAGTTTCTAATCAAATTCACCATGACCACAGAAACCGAATTGGTAAATGTACGAAATTACTTATCATAAATTGTGTCAATAGGGAAGCTGCATTTATTTTATAAGCTCGGTTACCGAAATATGAAAACGAATGTCTGTTGCACTAGCCAGTCAGCATGTTGCTAACCAACGCCATGGAGATATGGGACAAGTGTGCGCACAGTGTTCAAGCCCTGTGTGGCTATAAGCTACCCATCAGCTTTCAGCTGGTTCAGTCTGTCGATGTCTTGGAAGCAAGCTGTGATAGAAAACCTTGACCATATTCTGTACGGAAGAATAGACACGTGTTTTTGTAACAGTGGTGCGTTTGTGTGTGAACAAAACGTAGAACAATATAACGACATGTGTGTTGCAATGTTTTGATTAATGGGAAAATTGTTATTGGTATGCATCGTCTCGGCGTAGATCCACGGCAACAGATCACACCCGTTGGCGGAGCGAAAGGAGCCAGAACGTCACCAAAGGGCAACAGTTAATCTAACTGATCAGTGATTCTCACTGATCATGATGAAATATATTGAAAATCAATAAAAATCATTGTGCCATGTTTCCCCTGCCCCAGACATATTGAAACGGTCATCCAAAAAATACTGCTACTACTACTCCCCTCGAAGAAGAGGCGGAAATATATAAGACACGGATGAAACCCTTGAGGACCCAATAGTTTCAAAAATGACTACGTTGCTCTGCAACAATGGACACCGTAATGACGCAGAATGACTAGTTTAATAACAAAGAAAATCAAAGATACCGAAAGCAGAGTTGGTGAACCAACTTTTCACATCAGTGAAACGATGTCGTGTTGGTAAAAAGTTTACAACATCAAATAAAGTCAATCTCGCGAAAAAACGATCAGTGTACTCCTATTAGATCCCCACAATTTTTGTGTTGTGACTCAAAAACCTGCTAACTGTGAATTGCTTACACTAATATCTGTCAAGACCTTTTTTCTCAAACCACTTCAAGGGGTTGCGATGAGAATGGTTTTCTCTATCGGGATGGAAAGAGATGCTGTAAAGTACAATGTGCTAATGAAACAAAATGTGGAGATAATCAAATCCCTCCACCGCTGCTGGATGTGAGTTGTCGAATTGAACTTACTGTTGAAAATGTATATGAATTTTAAATACGTAACGGAATTGGACAGGTCGCCATTCTGCGTGCATTATTTCTCAAGCTATACATGTAACTCTCCGTTCAATGGGAAACCAGCCTGAGCTTCGAATACTAAGATACGGTTCATCTGGCTTGATCGTCGTATTCAAATGTTTCGAAGGAACACTCGTAAGTGTGGATGTATTCGACACGAAATATCGTTTAGCACAAAAAACGAACTTGCGGAACTCGTACACTGTTTTTTTCAACATTGTGGACTCCCCGCATCACAGAAGAGGTTTTTCGGAATTTGTCTGAAGCACAAACAAGAGACGTTCTACGAGTCACGTAAGTACTTCATGAAAACGAGCAAAATATGTGTGACTGTAAATAAACGTACATTTAGGATTCCTCGGAAGATTATTCTTTTGGCAGTATGACTTTTTGGCTAACTAACGACTGCGTCCAGTCAGCCTTGACATAAAACTGACACCTTGTCGTGTTGGTGAGGCTTCAGATCTGTGGTGATCGTTCGGGTACTACTGGCTGTATGCTAGTAAGCCACGTTCTAATGATACCGGAAAAGTTAACAAAAAGGACATCGATGAAGAGTCACTCGTTTCCGTATTGTGAGAGACTGTTATTTGTGGAGTTTTGTCAATCAACGGCGTTTGTGGAGCCAACGTGCCCCAACTTGGCTGCCGAAGGCAGAGTGTACATTGCTGCGTTCCGATCTGTCCCACCTTAAGGATCAGAGACGTACCAGTGATATAGTAAGTCTATAAAAACGGTTTTTGTCCATCAATGCCTCCAGAGCATGGAGCAGATATGGTTGGAGCGTAAGGCGACCGACTCGCGTTCCGATCTGTCCCACCTTAGGGATCAGAGACGTACCAGTGTTACAGTAAGTCTATGAAAACGATTTTTGTCCATCTATGCTTCCAGAGCATGGAGCAGATATGGTTGGAGCGTAAGGCGACTATGTCAGATGATTTTCAGGCAGAGTAATTTTCCATTGATAGTTCAATCGGTCGCAGTTTTCTAGCTACATACATCGCATGCCAGATGACTATCTAGCTCACAAAGTCCTCTTTATTTTGCTGTGTATCCGATAAGGACGGTCCAGGGATGGTTAGTTCATGAATTAGCTCTAAAGCATGAAGACATCTGATCAGTTGAGTAGCTTTGGTGAGTTGCTTTGGACGGGAACCCTGACCGAGAAGGACAGATGTCGCCGATCTTAACCAATTCGATTCACTTTGTTCTGTCAGACTGATATATTGTGTCAGCATCTGTCCCATTTTAATCAAGTACCTTTGTGGGCGGCTCTTCCACAGCCAATCGAGTCTTCTGCAAAAGTTGCTTACAGTCTACAGCAGCCAGCTCGTAGGCACTTCTCAGTGGTGGGCAGTGGACTGCGCTTTATTTACAAAACGCCTCCCACTAATCCGAGAATACGTCCAAAATTCCAGGACAGCAGATTTTTGATTATTAAACATGAAGGTTGTCACGATTTGGCTTTCCGTCGAAACTTTAGCTTTGCTAAAAGCTTTCTGTGAGGCCCGTGGAAATAATCAGTAAACTTTCGAACACCAAACGTGAGCTAATGAAGTTTCAACACCTGAAACACTAAAAACCGCATGTATTTATTCGTTTTCAAATTGAATTTTGCTTTCATGGAAGTATGAAAACACTTAACCCATCTCCAATCTATTTCCACCAACAGGAATGTAGAATATGCACAGATGAAGGTTCCAGGGTCACTATACCAAAGGGAGCTGGATTGCCCAATGTGGATACCCTCCTATACATTGTGAAGGGAAAAGACAGTCTTTGTAACGTAACAATTGCCGCCCAAGAGCTATGTGCTCAGGAACATACAGAAGACAGGTAGGTGTCATAAGGACTATTTTTTCGGCGTACATAGAAACCAGGAATTCCTTTGTGCAGCACAGAAAGGGAGTGGGAAATGAAATTTAGTCACCATATAATCTCTTATGACTGCAACAAATCAAGTACCGGAACAATATTAATTGCTTTCGAAAACCACACCCTCAGTCATGCTGAAAAATGAAAAAAAGTCTCATTTAACGATGGAAAATTCTCCAAAATAGGGTTATATTTTGTTGGTAACCAGAGTTTTTATTGACCGCAGAAGGGTTGAAAGTTTGTGCCTCTGGAAACGAGGTATAACGTTTATCGAATTCCACTGGACTGCTTTCAAGCAGCCAGATAGCAGATAACCTCTGCTGCGAAAGGCGTTTTCTTTACACACTGAAGCTTGAAATGCTTGTTGTTCGAAGAAATGTTCAAATTCAGTGTCAACTGATCGGTTCATTGGTTATCCGCCTGGGGGCGTCAAGAAAATTCCAAATTTTTTAGTCAATTAGTCAACAATAGCAGGAATGCATGTATTTCTATCCAGTTAACGTTGCTAATTCAAAATAGCCTATTGTCCACTGGCTCGATAGTTTGGATGGTCATAAATCAAACTGTGGTGCTCACCACAGCTCACCACAGGAAATCGCTGACTGATTGTTTTGTTGTTCGTATACTGCTTACACTTCCAGCCAATCAGATATAAGCTTTGGATGCCCCACTAATATGGCGAATCGGGGATCGTGGAAACAACGCTACCTGCCGGCTACTGCACAGAGAATCATTCGGCAGTTTAGGCCTCTGTTGTTCCCAGTGCCTAAAGAACCCTTTCTCACACCAAGTCAATTGTTCAGAATCTCGTATCCACAATGTACACGGTGACGTACTTCAAATGCGCATGCTTGAGTCTTGACTGTGACAGCCGTTTACGTCTCCACTCCTACAAACATGTTACATGTGAAAAAAAAAGACTTTCTGTTAGTAGGGACTTACTGGCACATCTGAATTGCTGAACATGAGGACAGAACGCATCAAACGCTTGGTAATTTTAGGCTGGACTAATTTTTTGCAAATCTGTGAGGCTCGTAAAGTTCGCCTTCGAAAACCAGCTCATCTTTAGCATTTTCCTTCTCCGGTATCCAAAAAACTTACTGGCAAGGTACTTAAACAAGGGATACATGACTTCCTTGGCAGGCTGTCACACGAAGGGCCTCATTAAATGAGGATAATGGATTTGAGGGAGTAGATGATTTTAGGAGTCAAGGAAGACAGATCACACCCTTGTGCGATATGGGACTAAGCCATAATTTGCTACTGCACGAAAGAAAGCTCGTGTGAATTGTACCATCATGGTACAGTTTAGTTGTGTCAAAAACCAACAGATACTTTCAGATATCGTCATCCACAGAATAGACGCTAGCATCATTAATATAGTTTGCTGAGTTGAACTACCGTTTAGGAGCACTGATGACTGCTACGCATCGAATAACTCCAGGCGAGACCCGCTACGTGCGGTGGCGTTGTAAATACCGATTTATCCATAAAAAATTGCAATTTGATGCGTTTCACGTGTTCCAGTCGCGCGATTGTCTAAGACAAATTGCACCTCAGTGATGGTTACATTTAACATCAGACATGGGAACTAAACAGATATTTGATGGTTTAAGCAAACCTCTGTTCTGTATGCATGGAACTAAGCATATTTCGTTCCCAACAAAACTGCTGTGCGACCTAAATGGAGAACTTCTCAGCTCCGATGACGGTAAGGTGATGCGATGGATGGAATACATCTTGCGCGTGGTAAAACATCTTAAAACCAGACCAGGAATCTCAAAACTAGCCAGGCCTTAGCATTGTATGACGTCAATTGCGAAGACCCAGATGATCTAGGGTCCCCTTGGTCTTTCATTAAACAACAAACAACACACCTCGAGGGAGACGGGATCACTCTGGAGGTTGTAGACGGCGTGTCGCTCCACGGAAACGTTTATTCAACCTGGGAACTAAACTGTATTTACATAGCGCTGAAACATGCTACAAGACATGACGACCCGAACGGAAGTTATTTCAGGACTGCTTGCATGGTAATAGTGAATAAAACGTATGCGTTCATTGGGAACAAAGTTCCCTTCAAGTGGCAGTAAGCGAAAGATGTCAGCTAATGATAAAGCCACTGAAAACCTCCACGTATACACGAATTAGCCATCGAGTAGTTTACGCCATGAGTTTGTCAAATACCACTGATACTCCTCAGTTTTTGCCTCCAAATGGTATCCAGCTGTAATAAAGGTATCCTCATCAGCTTAGTTCTCGGTCTGAGCCTCCAAAGGTAGCATTTTTATCAAAGCAAACATACCGTACATTCACGCCCAAAATCAAGTCAAGAATACATATACAGTGCGTCGTATATAGAGTGTATGTGGCGACAACCTTCTGGAAATTTAGACGCCTACTGGATACGCCATTTGCAATCGGCAGTCAACTAATTCTGGGTCATGATTGGATGTTGGGCCCAAGCGTTCTGTCAATCAGGGATCGGGCCATATGCCCCAACTTTTGGCCAATCTTCTGCGGGATAGACTTCTTGGCCACAGCAGCGCCTAGCTGCTAGCTGCAAAGTGGCGACGGTGTAGAATCCTACCTGAAATCAGCTAAGGTGCAAACTCAAATCGAGTATCATGGAGTACCTGATGACATGGATCTCTTTGTTGGAAGAACTTCAAAGGGGTCCAATAATTGGCACAATACGCAATGATTGTATAATAAGAAGCCAACACTACGATAACCGATTCCCTTCCCCCAGGCTGCTTAGAACTAACTTAAAGGCCTCTACAGTTAAAATTGGCCTGATTGGTCAGTATAATTTTCTCGAATACCTCGGTTCCACTATCTCATCCGAAAGCATCAGTGAAGAAAAAAATTCAGTGAATAGGGTCTGGTGTGCCTTCATGCATTCAGACATGGCCTTTTGTACAGCTATTCACCCCGGCCTAAATACTGCTCGAGAAACTCGGCCCCTGTGGAGTTAGACTTTTTTAGTCATTGATTACTCCATCTTAAACCAAGAATGCATCTATTGTAGGCATCTGAAAACGCTGTAAAGAGCTACCGCGCTGAACTAATCCATTCAACGTATATAAAAACATTCGTTTGGTCATCTATTACGTTTGAACGATGATTGTGCTCTCGAGTGCGCTTACACTTGTACAATGTGTCCGGGATTAGGTTGTTCCCTATTGTCTTGGTTCAATGTGGCTAAAGACAGAAAGATACAATTCGGCGCCCACGTGGCCTCAGAGTCTATTAGTAAAGCCATCGTAAAAACACTATTTGTACTTTCGTTACAGTGGATCGCCGTATTTAAGCGGCGTTCATTTATGGCCTTTATGAAGCTGGCATTTACATGCCAGATGGTGCCACTCATAATGACACAACAGCGTTTGAGTGCATCTAATTCTATAAAAGTTTACCCCAGCCACATACTGAATGTCATTCTTGGAACCATGTTGATTGAAGAAAAACTGGGTCAGGGTAGGAATGCATAAGGAAGCCAATATAAAGCATATGCAAGATTTCTGTTCTACTTGAACTGGCCTCAGTGTGACCTCAATATGCCATTTATACATACCGGCTATTTCTGGCTCTTCATTTAGTAGTTCTTCAGTTCACCAAATAGGTTTAAAGAGACGCGTATCGGGCATAATTCCAGAGGAGTTTAGCCCAGCCATTTCTATGCGAGTTGGAAGCGATCTTGTTAGCATCGGGCCAAATTCAGTTTTAAAAGCTATACCAAATGACCAGGAGTTCACCTTTCGCGGTATCCCTGTCACATAATATCAGGTACGTGACTGGGAAGTCAGAAGACGAGTAATCGAACAGTGCTTGGTAAAAGGATGAGACAGGAAACAAAGAAGAGCGATATTTACTCCATAGACACCGTGGGCTTATAGGGGATAGCCGGCCTTCAAAAGTTACTGCAAGAGTGAACGACATTTCGCAAATAAAATCCGACAAAGACACCTCGGTTCCCATTGTTAAGATTGTACTTAAGGCTGTACCAAGTGAGGGAACATTACCCTGAACAAATTAACCTTGGATTTTTCTATAGGAACAGATGCTAGACTGAAGGGCTACTCGGGGAACACAAAAAGCTAAGGATTTTTTACGTCCCGTACGAATGAAACCCACCCCAGAATGCAGCATTTTGAACAGACCGCATAAGTGGGTCAGCTTACTGAAAAACACTTGCGCTAACTGAAACATCTACTCAACAATTTATATCCATCTCCTTACCCGGTGGATTTTAAAAGAGACAGACTGGTACAAAAAGGGTGTAATTTGAGCACCACTCTTGAATTGGTTCATTGGTATGAAGTATTAGCTTCAAGAACACAGCCACGTGTAAAAAGGTTCATGGAAGACGTCTACACAACTATTCTGTGCGAAGAAGGACGTTGAGTATCCATCTAAATGAGTAGAAAATTATACTAGTAAAACTCTCCCCTATTCAGAGGAAATTTGTTATTCCCTTTCGCGAACTGATTTGGTAAACTACAGTAGGAACAAATAGCCATGAAAAGTATAATTATAAACGTTCATACAAAAATAGGCAATTCCGGACGGGTTCAAAGAGTTAAAGGCCACAGTCGGTTTTTACTTGGACTCATTGGAAAATGGAACCGAATTCTTCCCGGTTTGTAAACTAACACGTGTGAAGAATTTGCCTACTCATGAGTAGTTCGAGGATGGCAGAACTCTTGTGAAACAGACTGACTGCTGAACTGAATTCTGCTAAGTACAGTTGTCTTTGGATAAACTGTACTCGTACTCAGTGATTACCTTAATTGAGGCGAGTATCCTCGCCTGCACATAGTATGCAATCGTTTTACTGGTGCTATAACTTGAAGGAATATAATTGCGAGCGCTCATCCCCATTCTCTACTACATTATAAGCATTTCAACGGTTACGTTTAGATGTCCCCGGACTTTAGCCCCTGACGGAAAAGCATGAAAAATGTATAACGTTTTCCCACCTCTTCCAGACCCGTGGCTGCATTCATCTCCATATGTCCGAATTTGTTCAAATATCCCAGAAGATTTCAGACAGATGTTATGGTACACGAAGTCTGTCACGCGCTGGTAAGCCTACATTATTTGATTTTACTAGTTAGAACATGGATTCTTCTGAGCCTCCCTCTCAAGATTTCATACCAAAAATGCATCTGCAGATTACGAATGATACTGCCTGTATAAATGAAAAAATCCAGATTGATTAATCTATGCTGATATCTGATAGTAAGATGTAGGAATTATACAACAGAACAATACGAAATCCAACCATATTCTACCAGGCATATTCAGAATACGATACCCTGAAGATGACATTGACTGGGTTTCTAAACACTTGACTTTGCATTGTTAATCTGTCCGTAGGTATGCTGTCATCTTGTTAGTACGTCGGTACTATGGGTCAAATCAGACGAGTAAAGCTGGCATTCTAGAGGGCACGTAAGACTTCACTGGACATAACGATGACCGAAGCTCTGAAAATCCACGGATGTAAACCCAGATATACGCAAAGCTACAGTCGCAGGACGTATGTTGCACGCGAACCCACGACTTTCCGATTCCAGGTCGAGTTCTTCTTTCACCTCATTAGTCTCAGATCGAGACCTCACCATTTAGCGCTCAGAGAGATAACTAACGGATAATACCCTCAGTCTTATTGCATATCCATAATCCAAGAGTTGTTTTTAAGAGAAATTTCCATTTTAAACTATATTTTCATTCGCCGACAACTGCAGTTTCTCCCAAAGCTCGTCCTAACGTAAAATGTATGTTCTAGGGCTCTTAATCACACATTTTACTTATAGGGTAAACGGCAAAATAGATTATTCTGCTCTTATTTCGGTTTTAATAATTCCAAACGAACTATCACACTATGAGATATTGACGAAATTGTTACTGCTGGTGTTTGGATAATTCCGAACTCTTGCTGCGCTGGTCGTATCGTGGTAAACGACTTGAATGCTGTCAGATACATCAAGACCGCTGAGTGCAATACATAAGTATAGCATGTCGAATGAAACGGGTGGACTGCAATTTAGAGAGCGGAGGGTGTGAGCTACTTTTACATACGTTAAAAGTGAGCGGTTATATCAAAGTAGGCTGCATTCCACGAGTTTATACTCATCGCCGCCAATGGATGCGCTGTTCCTTACTTAACACTACGTCTGGTGATCTGCCGAAAATTTCTGTTCACCAGAGAAGCAGGATATTTTGAATACTTGTGTCACTGAAAATTTGTTCCGGCAATCCGTTGAACATTCACTCGAAAATCAACGCGTCCCCTATGAGTTGCGTGCAGAAAGAAACCATGATAATTCTACCCTATTTTACTGAAGAGTGCATTATAGCCCCTTGACGCCAGTTGGTTCCCAGATGGGAATTTGAAGAATCGTTTTATATCCTTGACAATTGCTTTCTAAACCCGGAGAAAGCCTGTGGTATTCATCGCGAAATCACTCGGAATCTAAATGAAAAATTTTGATTCACTCGAAGTGATATTATATGTCAAGGAGTCAATTTAATGTGCACGTAATGTATGCCTTATATGATGTGCTTTAGACGCCCTCCACACTGGTTGAACCAAAGTGAACCCTGGTCATACTGTGCTGCTAAAGCTATTCTCGTTTTATAATAAAAAGTTTCTGGTCTTCATGATCACTGTACTCACAGGAGATTGCTTTAGGAGCAATAAGTTGAAATCAACCTAGTTAGGCGATATCTGTTGCTGTTAGAATTTGCACCCAAACCAAATTTATCTTCGAGTAAGGTCTCAGCAGACAAAACATTAAGTTAAACGAACCTCTTTGCAGGAGTCGTGCAAAAGAGAACGACTCACTGTGAACTCAATGTTCGATTATTCTCGTTTAAGGGGAAACATGCACAATCAATCACTATGGGTTGTTTTCGCTGACTACACGGTCTGTTCGAGTGCCTAAAGCAACCCTAGTGTTTAGCTAACCCGGTAGATATGATCGTAATTCAAGGGCATACGATACACTTCGCTCAGTCAGAAAATAAATAACATAGTTCTATCAGAATTAGTTTATTGTTCGTCCTTACCCTGAACTTGGTATTACAGTTCGGAATCGAAATCACTCATAGGGCAAATCGCTAACTTTTGAAATGCTTTGTTTTATGAGTCTTCTTTATCCACGTAATCAACTTCAGGCGAGTAACTTAACCTCAAGAGGATGATGAAATGCCAAATTGGGTTATAAACTCAGTGCGGTGCGCGTAGTTTGCGGATAAGCTAAAGAATCCTCGGAATGTGGATCACTGTATGCCTCTACATCGTTTTACGAAACTATATGGTTAGTTGAAGATAGTTATGGTCATGAGTGAACATACCGAAAAGAAAGAAAGGCAAAGAGTCACTGTTTTGTATTGGGTCTTAACAAAGTGATTCTATTTGGGAGTATTGCAATATTGTCAGCTTAAACGGAACATTAGGGCAACGCTCTTAATCGCCCGAATCATACCCGTCCTCATATGGATCAAATTTGTTGTGGAGACCTCCTGCATGTCAGTTTCTCAATTAATGATGCCCTAAATTTTTCTCTCCAAAAATATTCTACGTCTCGACAATCCCCTTAAATGTGAAACCCGGTAAAACAATCGTTCAGCTGTAACCCTTTCAGTGCCTAGATGCCATGTTAGCCGAAGGAAGCACGAGGACTGGGATACTGCCAGGTCGCCCAAGCCTAGACAGAGGAAGTCGAGAGGCAGAGGCCGGGTTCGAACCACGGACCTTCCGGTCAGTAAATTCGCGCTCTAACCACTTGAACTATCTCGGTAACTTGAACCCGGTAACTGCATACTTGTTTTCACATTCGGAGTGTTAGTCAGTATAGAAGCGGTGCGACTGAGGATTTGGATATAACTGAAACGATTATTTGAGTTACTGCAACTTTGGATCCAAGACGAACGGAGTTGCAGTTGAAACCAGGAGTACGTCTTAACTATCGGGTGCACTTTTTGTGGCAGTTACCTTTCAGCTCTACCTGGTTGAGGTCTTTTTTTATCGTTTGCATGATTTTACTAACGTGTCTCTTGGTCATTCTGTCACCGAATTTGGAATGTGCGGTGAGAGCTAACCACTACCTACCACGAACAAGCGTGTTGTGATAGACTCCAGCACTAAAATCAACTATGTAACCACAAGCGACTGAACTCCTTGTTACTATGTCAGACGCCGCTGTCCTGAACTTACTACGGTCAACTCATGCCACAGTAGATGACATAACGAATGTTGCAGAATCCGACCTCTATAAGGGTCCTGAGAAAAGCCGTAAATAAATTGAACTTAATGTGATTAACGAATCAATTTAAGTGTACATTTTTTCATTCACAGGGAAAAGATTTGATCTTCTACATAGAATGGATTTGGAAACATGTATTCGCTGTGTGCAGACGTGCCTAAAGTAACGAGGGAAAAATTTCAGTCTGGTATTCACAGAGTCTTCCTGTGAGATTCATAAGAGCAATCCCCCCACTCAGTTCCCACCTGGGTCCGTTTAGGCTTTAGTAGTGAGTAAAGCAAGTAGTTCGACTTACCACGTAAAAGGACTAATAAATGAACGGATTCGGCTTTTCCCGAATATACTGAGTGATTTCGGATCATGATCACTTGAGCAGGACAAATTGAAAGCAGTACTTCAGTTTGCTGAAAATAGATGAAAAATATGTGCCGATAAATAGTAACTACATATTAACCTACATATTAGCAGCATCAGACTGTTTGCTACAGGTCCACGAACCAAATTCCCAAATTCATTGAGGGAATTTTGAAAGAGTATGAAGCTGTGATCCAACTTGCTGGAAAAACCTACACGTGCAAGCGGACAATCGTTTTTTGCAACTGCTCATCGATTTATGTGGAATACATATTAGCAACCAAGCCATTGGCTTGGACTTTATCCGAAGGTCCAAAATGTGGGAAATCTTGTAAAGCTTGGTCACAGTGCTTTTTGTCTCGTACATGGTATGGATTGAACGTGTGAGCACTAGATTTTCTGGCTCCAAGCCTGCAGATGACAATTAAACTTCAGCTGATTTGAGGAAACTGAAAATTATGATACATGTCATATGGGGGATAAATTACGCAGTCCAAAAATATATGTCCTTGTTCTTACCGGATGAAGTTAGATACTCCATGTCGATCATACTTGCGAATGTGGTTAGCGTACCGGGAAAATATTGACAAGGATTCTGACATTCCTTTGCATGCTACTTGTAACGCAACTGTGAAAGCGTTGGAGTTAAGACATCTAGCTGATAGGACTAGCGGTCACCTTTCTTTTTGGGTTTTAGTCCCGTACCGAGATCTTTCGGTTGACCTACTTCATTCTATGTTTCATTTAAGGGGGTGTCAATATATCTGTACCCGTACCTACGAAAGGAAGATGGGACGCCGCAAACTCCACGTGATCCGGAAACCAACCTACCGAATTTGGGAATGTTCGGAAAAGACCTGTACTATTCGGGGTAAGTAAATAATTCATTTCTTCAGATCAGTGAAATGCCCATCGGGCCAATTTGTGTATACTTAGCATGTTCATCGATACCCACCTGCTTCCATAACCTAACTTGGATTTTCAGAGCCCGCAATGGGAATTTGTATTGTGAGCTAAATTGAAAGCGACCTGTACATGGCTGAACTCGAATTGATCTTTCTTTAAAGCAGCTAACTACCATATCCGCTATATTGCAATTATTGACAGACTGGAACTAGGCAATACAATACCTCTCTTTACATGAAGGCCACGCCTGGAGAATGCCTCAAAAAACAGACTCGGCTCCGGAGATTCCCATTCAGTGTTCAAAAGAAAGCCTCAATCGTGGAATAATTCGGGGTGGGGGCAACATATTTTGTGGAGGTGATTTGGTGTACACGGCTTTGCTGACAACGAGCGTTCCATGGTAGCAAAAGCACCAATTATTCGAGCTGATAATTATCTATCCCAATAAACTAACACTCGGCAGGCGCCACTGAAGCTAGTTCACACCATTTTTCAAACTCTTACTTTGGCAACATGATGACTATTCGGATGC